CCCCCCCACACACACAGACACATACACACACAAACCCCCGAAACAAACAAAATCAAATGCAAGAGAAACACTAGAGCAGGAGATACGTTATCGGAACTGAGAATCAAAAAAGATTATCTCTTCCGAGCAGTCTTCTCCCTGGTTGAACAGAAAGGATTTTCTTATAAAACAAATAAACATAGTATTCTGTTTACACAGTTAGCTTTGTAAAGAACATTCTTTCATCTCCATTGGACCCAAAAGATTAAGCCAAGACAGAAGAAGCCTTTAAGAAAATCGCATTAGTCATCTAGCTATCTGCTACTAGAGGTTACAGATAAACATTAATCGGCCCTCATGCCTGAGATGTCCTCTTGTATCTTGTCTCTTCGAACTTCGAATGTGGAGGCAAGGACAAAAAAGGAAAAAAATAAATTAATTAAATAAATAAAAAGGACAAACGAGGAGGAAAAAATAGTGTTTGGGCAAACAAAGTAACAGATAGGCTACTGAAGTCGACATGATAAATAAACGTCTAAAATCTAAAAAAAAACAAAACAACAACAACAACAAAACAAAATAACAAACAAAAGCAAAGGACTCCCCCCTCCCCCAATAAAAATCAAAAATCAAAACAAAAACAGAAAATAAAAACACGCCTCGCCAAACAGCAACAACAACAACAACAACAACAACAACAACAACAACAACAACAACAACAACAACAACAACAACAACAACAGCAACAACACCCCCCCACCTAAGAAAAGCAACTATTGTACCAGAAATGATATATTATGGTCTGACTTGTCTAAGACGGTCACCAAAGGACGATAAGAAAAGAGATTGTTTTAGACAGATGGCTCTCTTACACGATGTCAAATTAAGTAAAAACAAACAAACAAACCCAAAAAACATAAAAGGTAGGGCATGAGAAGTAGCTATTTATAATCCCCCACTCAAATCCAAACAATGATAATAATAATTTATTATAATAATAATAATGATGATGATGATGATAATAATAATAATAATAATAATAATAATAATAATAATAATGATAATAATAGTAAAAAAATATATGATAAAGTCCATTCATGTAGCGGAGTTAAACTGAGAAAGTGCTATGCGCCTTACAAATATACCAAGAACACAAGTACCATAATACGGTTCTAATAATGGTAATTTCTCTCTCTCTCTCTCTCTCTCTCTCTCTCTCTCTCTCTCTCTCTCTCCCAAAGAACAACAACTGAACACACACAGTTACACAGACGGACGAAGACACACAGACACACACACATTAAAACACACACACACACACGCACACACATACACACATACACACACAAACACACACATACAAATCCCAGCCTCTTCAAAACACTTTCCCTGCTTTAATAATTCAGATATCGATATCAAATTAAGGCATAATAATATTAATATGCCCCGTGTTTTGAATTATCAGATGGAGCCGATTTGTTTTTTTGTTGTGAAAAGTGTTTTACGGCGCTCACAACTGCCTAAGGTCACATAAGCGGGCGTGACACATTTAACATTTTAAGTTTGGTAGGAATTTTGAATTTTGCCCGGGTGGTGGCTGAAGCCTACTCTTATAGATTTTAGGACCACCGAGGAAACTTTAACGTGCACACCTTGCGCAGAGGAGCTCCGTGATTTTTTAATTCTTATCCGAGAAGGCTAGGTATTAGATCTTACCTACCCTAGGATTACTGGTGAGGCTGAAAGACAGCTAGCACTAAGAAGGAGAAAGGAGTAACTTTTCCAATTATGAATCCTTGAAGCTATAAAAGGTATCTTAGTCACCCAGGTTTATCGGTACGTTTCCGCTGTGTCTACTATCTATCCTTTTCTTTCTTTTTTTCTTCCATTTTTTGTTTGTTTGGTAAGCGTTTTACGGTGCTCTCAACTGCACAAGGTCATATGAGCACAGGACACATGAAACGCTCTCAGTTGGTAGGACATTTTGAATTTTGCCAGGTTGTGGCGAAGCCTACTGTTATCGGTTTGTGGATCACCAAGGGACCTTTAACGTGCGCAGCTTGAACATGGGACCTCTGAGATTTTTCACCGTTGTCCGAGAAGGCTAGGTATTAGATCTTACCTACCGGAAAATCAGGAGTGTGGCTGAAAGACAGCTGTAAGAATGCGCCTAGGAGTAGCTGTAGAAAAGCTGCAGAAAGAGCAAGGAGCCCGGAGGAGAGGTCAAAGAAGGTGAGTGGGTGGGGGCAGAAAGTGGAGACGAAAGCAAACGACAGAATATTGCTAGAGAGCAGA